TAAAGTATCAATTTGTACTAGTTATACATAATTATATATTACTGAAAAAAAGGACTAAAGGAAAGACCCCTCTTAAAAAAAAAAAAAAAAAAAAAAAAAAAAAAAAAACTTTTATAAGATATAAAAAAGGCATTTAACTTAGTTTTACTCAAAAGTCTTGAACTAGTTCTACAAAAAGTCAAAATATCCAAAATAACAATTAAGTATATCTTAAACCTTTTTTATAAAAAACATTTTAAAATAATTACAGCATATGGCCTAACAGAAGAAATAACAGCAGAAGATGGAATAGATCAAGATAAAAGGTTAGGCTATATAGTAGAACAAAAAATTAAAGAGTAAACACACTATAACAACATTACAAACTACCACCAAGCAGCAATTATATATGCAGATAATACAACATGAATTGTGAATAACAAAGAACAATTACTAGAAATCCTAAAGGTGGCAGAGAAGTTCTTTAAAATAAATGATATTGAGATAAATGAATCTAAATCAAACCTGATAGTAATAAACAAAAAAGTTAAAAAAAAACAAAAATAAAATAACCTTCAGAGAAAGCAAGATAATAAAAGAGCCAAAAAACAAAATAGTTTGTTCATTAAAAATCTGATTAAATAACAAAATGTAAGAAGTCTTAGTAAAAAAAAAAGCAAAAAGGATAATAAGTCAGACAATAAGAAATCTTAAGTATAAAAAAATAACAATAAGCCAGATTGCATATATAAACAATATAGTAATAATATCAAAATTAAGCTATATGTTACAATTAATAAAAATATTAGAAAAAGGAATAAATGAAATACACCAACCAATAATATGTTTGGCAAAACAAAAAAGCAACTTGTTAAGAATGTTAGAAAACTGTATAATAGAATAGTAGTTGCAGAACCTTGCAACAAAAACTAATAATGAAACAAATAAAAGGTCTAGTAGCAAGACTAAACAGAAAAGATGAACTAGAGCAACTAACAAAACTAAGAATAATATAGAGTTTTCAAAGAGCAAGCTTAACAGAAAACATATAAAAAGTAGAAATATTGCCAGAAGACAAGTCATGTTAAAAGAACAATTTAGCCTGTCTGATGATAGTTAAAGCAAAAAAGTTAGGAATAAATATAAGTACAGAAAGTGAATTATAGACAGCAAATAATTATAGTTTTAGAATAATTGAATTTTTTTTTTTTTATTATAACCCTGATGCTCAGGTCAGGGGTGCATGTGGTGCTCTTTTATTAATAGTGTTTATTATTATCTATAATGTAAATATTTACATATATTCTTTTTCTTTTTAGATAAAAATCTTTTTAAGCTAAACTGTACTACTTTGATTTCTTTGTTTAAACGGCATTTAACTGTACTTAGTATACTTGTTAGGGTTTGGTAATCTTCTCACTATTTAACTTTTATATATTGGCACCAGATTTCGTAGATTGTGTTAATATGCAGCCATAATGCTGTTTGTAATTCTTCTTTACTCTTTATGTTTAATGCATTAAAGATTTCTTCTAGTGTTCTGGAGGGATGTTTAGCTTGTCCAGTGTCAAGAAAGAAGTAAGCTAGCTTTCAAATTTCTTGACTGATTCTGCAGTTTATAATAAAATGTTCAATGGTTTGCAGTTCATCAATGCACCATATACAGTCATTATTTTCTTCTGAGCTCACATGACGCAGTCGATAACCAAGTAAAAGAGCTCTGTGAAAGAGGCACTAGGCAATATCTTTTTTTCTATTTTCTATTGCCTTTACATCTAACTATCGGTTAATAAGGCTTCTTTTCAGATTTGTATTTACAGGATTCGTAGTTTTTTTTTCCTTAAGAATTCTGCTAGACTTTTTACTGAGATTTCATTTTCTTTTTTCTTCTTGTTTTAAAGTCTTCTTTATGCCAAAACCAATCCATAGAAGCATCAACTGTTCTTTCTACTCTTTTTTAAGCAAGAATATATAGTTTCCATTCTGTTGGCCAAGCTGCTAATTTTATTGGTGATCCTTTCAATGCTTGTAGAACTGAAATATTTCTTTTTTTTTTTATTATTGTTGTGATTTTTTCTCTTTTGAATTTAGACTATAAAAAGTTTTCTGTTAGGAGCTTTAGCCAAACTGTTAGTAATCTTGTGTCAAGCATATCTTTTATGATTGGAGCTTTTAGTTCTTGTTAGTCTGCAGAAAGCTGAAAGACTGAATATTTAGGTAACATCTTTGAAGTTCCTTTTATCCATAGTGTAATTATCTGATTGATCTCTGTTATTTGTTTTCTGTTTAGTAGTAGAAGATATGCTGTATACCAAATTCTTGAGATTATTAGTAATTTAACTATTAATATTTTCCCTTTAAGTGAAAGGTTTCTTTGGGCTATACCTTCTAAGGAGCTTTTTAGCTTCCTGATCATTGTTGGCCATAGGTCTTTTTTAGGTTGTCCATTGGGTTAAATCATATATCCCAGAATGGTTAATGTTTCATGTTCTGTTACTTTTTTGAAGTGTTTTTCTTTTGATAATCTGACTTGTCTAGCACTTGCAGTAAGTAGAACTAGTTTAGTTTTATGTTTGTTAATTTTTGCATTAGATGCAAGCTCTTATGCTTTAAATATTTGTTTCAATATATTCCAGTCTGTGGTTGATCCTATGCCAATTGTTAGATCATCAGCATATGCTGTAGCTTTAAAGAACTGCTTTTCTAGTGGGATTTCTTTGAGTTTTCTTTCTAATTGTTTTAGCATTAGTTCAAATGCTAATACATATAGAAGAGAAGAGAGAGGATCTCCTTGTCATACATCTTTTTCTATTCTAAAAGATTCAGATAGGTTACTTCCTTTTACTATATAGGCCTCCTGATTAGTGAAGAGGTTTTCAATTAAGTTAACAAATCTTGGATTAAAGTTCATTTTGTTCAGTACTAATTTCAAGAACCTATGATTTACTCTGTCAAATGCTTTTTGCTGATCAACAAATAGCATCCAGTGTTGCTTAGAGTTATTCTTTTGGTTTCTTATTGTTGTTAAGATATCGAGAGCTATGTCTGTTATAGACCTGTTTATAATAAAGCCTTGTTGATAGTTTGGAATTATATCGTTACAGATTAAATTTAACCTGTTGGCTATGATCTTTATAAAGATTTTTGCATCACTGTTAACTAGCAAAATAGGTCTCTAGTTGTTTATATTGTCAAGCTCTTCTGATTTTTTCAGAATTAGTATGTTTAGATTCTTGCATTATAAGACTGGAAGGATGTCAAAGTTTAGAGTTTTATTAAAGATCTTCTCCAAAACTGGTGCTACTGTTTCTTCTGTAAGTTTGTAGAACTTATAAGTTAAGTCATCTATTCTAGGGAACTTGTTATTTGGTAGGTTTCATATAACTTCTATTATTTCTTCTTGTGTAATTCTTTTGACCAAAGCATTATTGGATTCATGTTGTACTTGTGGAAGGTTTTCTGTGATTTCTTCTGCTGCTTTCTTATTAAACTTTTCTGTTTTGTAGGTTTCTGCATATTGTTCTTTAATATACTATAAAATGTCCTTACTATTTTAATGATTACTATTTGAAACTTTAATTTCTGAGTGGGCTGCCTGTGATTTCTTTTGTTTATATTTTGCAAAAAAATATTTCATTGACTTTTTACTTTGTTCTATCCATTGCACTTTGGAACAGATATGTTATTTTTCTGCCAAAGCTGTTAATTCCTCTTGTAGCTGTACATTAAGCTCATCTAAAAATGAAAATAAGCTTTCTATATTGGAGGAACTAGCTATTTTTTTACTTAACTTTGTTATTTCATTGTTAAGCTTTGAGATTTTGCTTTCTGTTGTTTTTGGCTTTCTAAATGCTCTTATAATCGATTGTATATAGACCTTGCAAAGATCCCAATCCTCTGTTGCATTTGGTTTACTAATTTCCTCTAAGACCACTTTTTTAAGTTTTTCATTATTGAACATGATTTTATCAAAGTGCCAATTAGATGGTTGTTTTCATTTTCAGTTGGAGTTGAGTGAGCAACTAACTAGAAGATGGTCTGAGTTACCAAAGTGCATAGCAACCTTTGAGACTAAGTGTGATTGATTTTCATCAATAAATATGTAATCTAAACATGTTACTATTATGTTACCACCTTGTGTTTTTTGGTGAAATGTGAGAAAGGGCTTAGAGCCTGCAATTTCTGCAGTGTTTGAAAAATTTCTTGTTAAATCCAATAGTTGGTTCCTTGATGGGTCTGACTAAGGAGCTGCTTGACTTATTCTGTTTGCTTTAGGTTTTAGATTTACATTGAAGTTTCCTGCTATAATGTTTATTGCGTTTTCTTTTATTTGAGAAGTCCAGTTGTCAAAAAATATTACTCTGTTGCTAATGTTCAGAGGTGCATACACATTAGTAATATGAAATAAGAGACCTTTGTAAACAAATGATGCTGTAATAATTCATCCATCATTGTTTACTTTCATATTTTTAAAGGTAATATTTTTGTTTCCAGCCAGAATTGCCACTTTGTCTGATCAGAATGAGTTAAATATCCATTGGTGTTTTAAAAAGTTTCTAGTGTTTTCATTGTTGAGATTAGTTTCTTGTATCATTATTAAATCTAAATTGTAGGATTTTAAGAGTGTTAATGTTTTTTGCTATTTGCCTCAGTCATTTAGTCCTTTTATATTCAAAGTTGTGATTTTAAGTTTGAATTTTGGAGGCATATAAATGTACAAGAATTTTGACCAATTAGGTCTGCGAGAGCAGTCTCTCATTACGTTGTTTTCTGTAAAAGCTAGGCCTTAATTGGTTCTTATTCTGTAAACTCTTTCTTTTTTTATCTTTGTCTTTTTTATAAGATGGCATAGAGGTCTCCTCATTGTCAACTTCTATTATAGGTAATGTTTCTTCTGTATTTTTGTTTTCTGCCTGTAGTTCTGCATTAAGATATAGTGCAGCCAGTTCATTATGTGGTGCTAATATTGGGTTAGGTGAGAGGTCCTTATCTTTACTTGGTGTAAAGTTTCTTTTATCATTGTCTATTTCCATTGAAGATGACAAAGGCCTCTTTTGTTCATCTTGTGTTATATCATTTTTTTGTAAGCCCACACCATCTATGATAGATGCATCATCTTGCAAGTATGGGTTTTCTTCTTTGTTAGCAGAACTACCTGCATGGGGTTCTTGTTCTGGCCTGATATTAGCTGATTTTTCTTTGCTGTATGATCTAATTCTTTTTTTAAAAGTCTTGATATTGTTGGCAAAGAGCTACAGATTCCTGAAATAGCTGGCATTCCTTTTTAATATGCCCTTCTTTTTTACAGAAGTAACATACTTTTGCTGCTGCCTTTTATTCTGTTGTGACTTTGTTATCCCAAATATAGGTAAATCTTGGTATTTTGCCTTCTAAAAATGGATCCTCTGTAGTCTTAAAAATTATAACCTACTGATCTGTTAGGTATGGTATATCTTTGATTAACAGGGGTTTAATCAATGCTATTTTACCTATATTCTCAAAAGCATCTTTAATTGAGTCTGACAGTTCTTCTTTGTTGCCTAGTAGGACATTCCTGATTTTGACTGGCAAGAATGATTTTCTTATATCCATTGGAACATATCCAAAATATAATCTGTTGAAAATTTTAATGCCTTTTGTTGCATAGATCTTTAGTTTTTCTTTGTCTGTAAAGATAATTTCTAAATGTGATCATGTTCCTTTAGTAAGATGTTGTTTAGCTGCGATGATGTCATTTTTAGTCATTTCGAATAAAGATGACATAATTTTATTAAAAGAGCATTGTAGGCTTTGTATATCAATAATAAAAGCATTTTCATTCTTTGATTTAATTGTGTTCCTAGGAGAAAAGGATGAGTAAGTTGACTGGCCTCTTTTAAGTTTAGGAAAAAGACTTGACTATTTTTTTGTTAGTGGTTCAGTTATTCTACTAGAGCTAAAAGTTGTATTTCTTTCCAAAGTGAAATCCTCTTGTTCATTCCTTGGTTCATTTTGAGTTGTTGTTTTCATGTTGTTTTTGTTATCTGTACTAGTCTCAGAGACCTCTTTGTTATATATTGTTGTTTGGATGTTATCTTCATTATATGTACTAGTTTTAAAGACCTCTTCATTATGTGTATTGACTTCAATAACCTCTTTGTTATATGTAGAAGTATTGTTGTGTTGTTCTAAAAGTGTTTCTGTATTGTTATTTCTTTCTACTGATAAGATTTTTTCTTTTGTTATGTATGTTCTATTTTCTTTAAGTTCTTCTTTCTATGTATTTGTTATTTCTTTGAGTTTTTTAGTTTCTTAAGCTACTTGTTCATTCCAGCTAGGGTTGCTTTTGTTGATATGTTCTAGTGAACCTGAGTTATTGCCTTCTACTTGTATAGGCTTCTTATTTTTGGTGTTTTCCTTATCAGTATTTGTTGTTGTTTTTCATTTTTTTGCCATAGTGCCAAAGCTTTTTGTATCATTAAAAGCTTTAAAAGATCTTTTTCTTGTAACAAGGACAAGTGCCCTTGCTTTGAAACCTTTTTTAAGATTGGTTGTCTTGTTATTGTAGTTTATTTTCCTGTTTAGTTTCACTCTACTTCCAAAAGTATGTGGTTTGAAAAGAGTGTATGCAGATCCGAATAATTGAATTAGTAAAATCATAACTGTAAAAAAAAAGTAAAACCAAAATAAATAAAGCAGAACTAATATATCTAAATTAGCTACTTGACACAAAAGAAGAAAGACTAAGAACATAACAGCAATTCAAAAGCTACTAGGAACAATCAAATAAAGGCAAAAAGGCAAAGTAGTTCAAGATAATAGAAACAAAAGTGCTTAATAGATCTGAAAATAGAAAAATTAAAAAACATTTTAAGACAGGCAGAATTAATATATAAGCAATGAAGATTAAGTAGAGAAGTCTGTTAAAAGATAGAAGAAAAAAAGAATGAATACTGCATAATGCAATAGAGGATAGACAATTAGAAAAAATAATTTTTTAAAAAAAGAAAAAGCTATTGATAAAACACTGACAGTTGTATAATATAGAAAATGATCTAATAACCAGAATTGACAAATGTAAAGAGTGTACAGAAGAAGAAGAAACAGTAGAAAATAGCTGTCAACAGTAGATAAAAATCAACAACAAGATAAACACAGTTCCAGATATGCTAATAGGAAGAAATAACAATATAATTAAGACAGTCACTGATCAACTAATAGGATATACAAAAACAGAAAAGTTAAAAAAAAATAAACAAGACTTAAAATATTAGAAGACTTAGAAATAGAGTTAGTTAAAAAACAAAAACTAAAAGAGAACATTATTAAAGAGTTAATAAAGATTCTGAGAAGAAATATATTAAGAAACAAGAACAAATATATAATATATACAGATGGTGCAGCAAATAGAAGAAACAAAGAAAAAACAATAGATAGAAACATGTGTATAGAATAGGTACAAATAAGTAAAGCACAAAAAGAGGTGTGGTGACTTAGTGAAGTAGATAAGTTGTCAACCCCCCAAGTGGTAGGTTGTGAGTTCAAAACCTACTGACAGCGAAAATTTGAATAATCACCTATGTAATACATAAATGGTATTACGGCGACGGCATTTTGTCGATCAGTTGGGATAGGATACCTGTAACTATGGTTGCACCAGCATAACTGGCAGGTCACAGAGCATCTGTGTAACATTGGTTACACAGAGGAATGCAAACCAGTACTGGGCGGTGCAAACCTAAAATAAGTCCCTATGCCTATGTAAATCCGTAGAACTGGGAAACCGGAGCCCACTTGGAAAGACCTGAGTAAAGAGGTAACACAGATCTTCGACAGTACCACTGTAAAGGCTAGACCTAGGAAACAGATACCAATGTGGAGGAGCTGGACGGGCAAGAACCTCAGGTGAAGGGTATCACCAACCAGGCTACCGGAACTGAACCAGAGGAAAAGGATATCGGGTTGGCTCGATATACCAAGGACAGATCACAGTCCTACCGGGCTATCTGAATTGGGAGTCTGGGGTCAAAGTAGGGGTATACTATAAGTACTAGAGATATGCTGTGAAGTAGGTGCTAGGGTTTGGGTGAACTCTACAAGGACTAGCCTTGTTAATGTTCCATAGAGTAGGTAGGTAGTTAACAAGGAGGTACCCTAAAACTGATCGACAGAATGCTGTCCCTGTAATACCATCTATGTATTACATAAGTGATTATTCAAATTTTCGCTATCAATAGGTTTTGAACTCACAATCTATCACTTGGAGAGTTGACAACTTATCCATTTCACTAAGTCTCCACACTCCTAATTTAATTATTAAATTTAGTATTAATATATATATTAATATATTAAAAAAATTAATTTTATCTAGTTAAGTTTAAGATATATGCTAAGCAGATATTATGTTTAATTTGAGGCATTTTTAAACTAAAAATTTTACAACAAGCTTTTTTTATATATAAAGCTAAGTTAGAATTAATTAAATAAAATGTTGAAAATAAAATTAACTATTCTGTAAAAAGCTAAAAAACAAGACTACTAATTGTAAAATTATTAACAAGTTTAATATAATTAACAAAAACTAATCATATAATTTAATAATATAAAAATAAAGTATTAACTATACTATATCCTTAAAAGTTAGTAGTTTTGTCAATAATAATTAATATATATTTAAATTTAAAAAAAATTTTAATGTTATTTTATGAAAATTAAATATTTTTTTAAGATATTGTTATCTTAAAGTATTAGTACAAAAGATCATACTATTTTTATGACAATATTTTTAAAAAAAACATGTATCTTGTCAATTTTTTTAAATGAAATATTAGTTGCAATTTATGCTTTCAATAAATCCGTAATTATAAGTTTTTTAATTTTAGTATTTTTTATTACATTAATAATAGTTTGTTATTTGTTTGTTTAATTATTTTTAAGATATTGTTTATACTTAGTTTTATAAGATTTTAAGTAAGATGAG